TTTGATTTTGGTCCTCCTGGTTTTGTTCTGACCCCCTGTGAGTGTTATTTAGTTACTCTGTTTATGAGCCTTTTCTATGCTTGTTTTTAGAGTGATCTGGATCTGATACTTCTCTAAACCATCTTTGATTTGTACTTTGCTTCCACTCCTTGCGTTTTGAGTTAATAAAACCTTTTGTCACTCAATCTCCGACTCCATTCATGTCAAGTTTGGGCAAATGGGTCGATCCCAAGTTCTGGGTCCTGCATTATGGCTCCTCTACCAGATATTTTAGGGTAAACACCCCCTCCAAATGCAGCTTTAAAGCTCGTTCGGTGAGCACACGGGGCTCCGTTCCTTAAGTGGGACGCTGATAGATAAAACATGGCTTTAGCCACTTGGGATAATGACTGTTTAATGTAGTCCCCGTTCCCACGGCGATGGCACAGGCCTCCACTATTCATGACCACACATGGGGTGCTTTTGGGGGAGTCCAAATCCACCATTTCACACACACACACACACACTTACACACACACACACACACACACACACACACACACACACACATTTACACACACAGGCCTCCCATTAGCTGCTTGTTTATTCCCCTGGTGGAAATTTGTCTTCTTTTTTCTTGTTTTGTTGGAGTAATTTGCAGCTCATCCGGTGGCATTATGCTGATGTCATATAATAACTGGAGGCAAAACTTGAAATGCTTTACATTCGATCGCGATCTACCAAGTTGCTATCGGTAGATCACATGACAAGGTGAGGTGACGTTGTCATGAACTGATGCTATACAAATAAAGTTGAGTTGTTTTGAATAAAAACTAGACGTCAGCCTATCAGCCGTCCCGTCATTGATCGATACACAGGACAACCAGTCACATGACATCTGATTTTTGCCCGTTCAATTAGGTCACATTAGCTCAAACAACAGCTAAGCTAACAAGCTAACAAGCTAACAAGCTAGTCGGTAGCTACATCCTCATTTTTCGCTCGGTTTTTTCCTCTTAAACGTAAGATCGGTTATGAAAATGAGTGGGGGAGCTGGACCAAGTAATATGTAACCAAGTAAAATGTACATAATTATGTTGTGTTGTGCAACATATGTGGCTATACATAAACATAACTTGTAAGAATCCTCGACATATTTCTCAATAAATAGACAATTCTCTGCTTGAACTGTATCTTTTCACAAAAAGCTTGTTTTCTCCATTTATTGGTCAAAAACTGGTGTTTTTGTTGAAACCAACCTATGTTCTACTGCTGATTACTAAAGAACGGAATAAGGTAGAAACACATTTTTTTTCCTGGTGAAAGGAGAGAGTCTACTCTTTCTTTTGGTGTGTTCGGTGTTTACATAGTCATAGCACAAACTATTCTGTGGCTCTTGAAAAATCTGTCAAAATGCAAAAAAAAAACTGGCAATATGGGACTCTGTTCTGAAAATGGCTGCCAGTCAATGAGTTAATGTCGCTTTCTTTGGACTGCAGACGTCCACCTTATTTAGACGGGGCATTTTGTGTCAGAAAATGAGTTTTAATCTACACTCACTCGCCATTTGATGATGCTTTAGTCGGGTCTCGTGGACCTGCCAAAACAGCTCTCTTTACCCTTTGTCTCTCAAAGCAAACATTCAATTGCGGAGGCAAGCGAATCCTCCCTGGAGCAGATGGTTAGTAGACCTGTTCCTAATTTTCCTCTATCTGCTTCAAATTTGAGACGCTGTTGTGTACGAGCATGTAACATCTGCTGGGCTGTAAAGCGTAATGATTATCAGGGATATTTACTGTTAGGCAGCCTCCCAGTCCCGTTTGGCTGCCGTGCCTTTATTTCC